TTCTAAACAATGAATTTGATATTTCATTTTTGACCCTCTTAAAATTAATCAATCTATAAAATCTATGCTTTTAAATGTAAACAGATGGGACAATTTAAATATAAATTTGCAGTATATGATGAAAACAAAACAGATACATTAAGAAAGTGAATTTCTTATATGGAAAGTTGAACGTATGTGTTTATATAGACAGACAGACAGAGAGAGTTTCAAAGAAAGTCTACACAATGTTAAAAGCTACAAAGCTATTTTTAACCATTAAAATGTTGTCCAAAAATATCTGGTGGCGGCATCAAATTATAAGATGAATCCGTAGAAACATATATCAAATTATAAGATCAATCTGTAGAAACATATATCAAATTATAAGATCAATCTTTAGAAACATATATCAAATTATACGATCAATCTTTAGAAACATATATCAAATTATAAGATGAATCTGTAGAAACATATTTACTTTATGATATATACTAGCTAATTCCAAAACATAGAACGTACAATATAGTCTTAATCCTCAGAAGGTTATTAGTTGATTTGGAATGAAACGAAGTTATACAATATAATCAAAAGGCATCTGTTTAGAGCCAAGTTATATCAATCATAACAGTTGTTTCTCTAACAAGAAAATTTTCACATTTAAAATATAAAAGCGCACCTGTGGAATATTCGACCTCTGGGACTGGGCTAAATTGGCCGTTTAGCCGACTTTGTTCCGGACTTGGTGGAGGAGTGACCGTTCCTCCGGGACCAGGCCTCCAATGTGACCGATGTTTACGAACAAGAAAAGCTCTTGGCATATCTGCGTTGATAAGAACCAACCGTCAGTAGTAGAACCAGAGTCCAGAATGACGAAGCTACGCTAAACTCTCAACAAATGTGGGCTACTGTGGCATGCGCACCACGGTCAAGGTGGACGAAAGTGAGTGGCTGACTACAACCGTGAGACGAACGCGACGGTTGAATGAGAAAAGCAACTTCTTGCCGAGGGCGGGATCCAAAAACCGAACGCATGCGCCCTGTCAAGGCTACCTATTGATGTTACTGAGAGGGAAACATTTGTGGGTCACTGACACACGGTAGGAGACAGGTTCGGCCTGCTCCTCCGGTGGAATGAAAAAAACGGAACGATTTTGTTGCTGTATAAACCGGTACATCCGAAACTGTTAAGTTGCACCGGAATTCCACGAGAGGTCGTTATTCGGGATGATGGGTGGGGATTGCTTCATGTCAGTGATCTTGGTGAACATTATAGCGATGGGGTTCACTAAGCATAAGCAAGTTCAACTGAACTTCGTAAAGAAGTCTCATAACACTGGCAGAGGAAATCAGTTGTGTTGGCAATTTCAATAAATAACTTTTAGGAAGCGTTTCGCCCACATAACTGAAATACTACACTTCACATAAAAAGTCCGAGGGTGAAAGCTGGGATCACCCGAACGTCAACAAGCTAGAGAGTAAATGCGTTATGATTGAAGTGAGTACGAATGTAAAATGGGCGCCAGATAATATAAAAACTGATAAAATGAGTTGTTAGAATAAATTAAGAAAATTCAGTGACGATGTCTAAAATGATTTGAAAGAATCAAAGGAACATTTAATTGTACATTAGACTTGTAAACAATGAATGTTCAACTGTAAATCAGCGTATTTACTAACATTTTATTATTATTTTAATTGTCTTCTTTTTTAAAAACATTTTGTTCACTACTAAAAGATTTTTAAGACTACTTAAACACGATTATGACTGAACGTGTACTCAGACTATACTTAAAGTATTTAATTAGGTTGCAGGTTGCCAAATGTTTTTCAGTTTTTAACTTTTTATACAGTCAGGTAAAGTATTGTTTTACAAAAAAGATGCATTTTTAGTTAATTCCTTACATCCAACCTTTTAATAACATTTAATCGTTTAAATCAATAAGGACAGTATATACAGTGCAGAATGGAAATTTTTCTCACGATTCTCAAATGTGAAGAAAAAAAAGAGACCGTGTCAGAAGCGATGATTTGTGTACCGACTTCCGACGATGATTTGTGTTCGGACTTCCGAGAGTTTGATAACTGTAACACTGTCGAGAGTTTGATAACTGTAACACTTCCGAGAGTTTGATAACTGTAACACTGTCGAGAGTTTAATAACTGTAACACTGTCGAGAGTTTGATAACTGTAACACTTCCGAGAGTTTGATAACTGTAACACTTCCGAGAGTTTGATAACTGTAACACTGTCGAGAGTTTGATAACTGTAACACTGTCGAGAGTTTGATAACTGTAAGACTGTGACGTATTTGTCTGTTCTATCTACGAAAAGTAGAAACTAACATTAAATTCCGATCAGAATAAGCTATATACCTGAATCAAAAGTAAACTTGGTAACCAGTAGAGATAATCAAATGTACTTCCTTACGTATATAGGTCACAATGGTGTGCGTTTATGTTCTTTGAGGGGTCAAACTGATACCAGAAACGGAGGGTGAAGACGATAAAACCATAAAAACATTTTTTTTTCTCAACAGTCCAGTCAAAAATCATGACAAAGATTAGATGACCGTATATTGTATCATGTCGTATTGAAACATCAAGCTCTGTATATTGTATCATGTCGTATTTATACATCAAGCTCTGTATATTGTATCATGTCGTATTTATACATCAAGCTCTGTATATTGTATCATGTCGTATTTATACATCAAGCTCTGTATATTGTATTATGTCGTATTTATACATCAAGCTCTTATATAGTGTATAACAGTTATTTACTCTGGATTCACAATAACAGCTATTTATCCTAGTTTCACACCAGCAGTTATTTGCCCTGGCTGTTTTACTCACAAAAAAAGAAACGATATGGAGGTATGTTTCGTTGGAACGAATAATTTTGTTCATGACCAGGATGCGGGAACTAGGTGTGATATTTGACTATACTTTTTGCTAGACTTTTAGTGCCGTAACATGATGTTCACTGTTAGCTTATTGTGACATCAGCCACTTCATGAAAAAGTTTAATCATAGTGCGGATGTTAAACCTGATTTACCTTTCGGCTTATTTGCTTTCAACGTTTTATGTTGTAAACGTTGTAGCAAGCTTCTTTTTTGTCTTAAAAATGTTTTGCTAAACGTTTGTTACAATTAAAATGTTTTAACATAAAAGCAAACAAGCACGTGGATTCCTTCATATACAAAGGTTACATATTTGTCCAATGGTTTTTCAGCTCTCTCATTTTAAAAATTGTTTCAATGACAGTAAGTTAAAATTATCGAATTCAGTCACGGTTTGTGTTTTTGTTTATTTGAACGACTGGACAAAACTCTGCATCGTGGGGAATCGAATACAGAATTTTAGCGTTGAAGCCCGTAAACTTATCGCTGACCCACAGAACAGTTAATCAGGTTCCTGTTTCTTAATTACGGTTCTAACAAAATTAATTATTGAAACCTAGTAGACATGGAAATAGGGTCAAAACATACTTTATTACTACTCTTCCGCTTCATATACTAAGGCAATTATTTAAAGATTTATTCAAGATATGCTTATTTTCAAATATGAAATGTTTCTATATATGAAACATAAGGGTGTGAGAGGTTTTAAATCGTGTTCTGTGGTTTTTATCAACGACCATTTATTCTGACCCCAAGGTTAATAGTTTGGAAAAAACGACTACAGTTTTTTAAATATACTCTGCACGAGAAACGTTTCCAAGGGATTCGTTATTGGTGAAAAAACATACTGAAAAGATAGGAAATGGTTAAATGGAGTGATTATAACAACAGTTTAATGCTTTTGTACAAAAATAAAAGATTAATGTTACTCAGCAATTCCAGAAATTACTGGGTGTGGGGAATGCCTTTAAAAGTTTTATAATTAGTTATTAGAATCGGACATCCTCGCGCACGGTGTTTTGAATTGTTTCGTTTGATTTAACCAAGAGACGGGATTTCTGAATGGCTGAAATGCCATTCTATAAGGAAATCACATAAAATCAAAAAGTGTTGTTTCTAACTGTAGCGTTTAGATGAAAGAAGTTTTGCAAGATCTTGACATTGAAATAAGCACCATAACAGCTAGCTCGCAAAACAGGTTTAACATTCCTGGAGTAGGGGAACCTGTACTGCTGCAGGCGGTGTCGGGTCACCTTGAAATCTACAGGAGGCTAAGAGAAAGTGAGCGGAGCTCCACTGAAGGCCATGGTCACCGTTGCCGGTGATCACGTGACCGTTCGAATAACGGACGAGGAAAGTGCCGAGTTTCCATGAAGGTCACTTCCCAAAGCCTCGTATATCACCCAAAGAAATCTCTAACCCACTAGACAATTTGTACGAAATAAATATTAACTTGTTCTGGAGTTGTAAAATACGACTTTTTTCTTACTCTTATATGAATATAGTTTCACTGTTTTGTTTTATCAAAACAACAAAAATATCTGTATTATAAGCATTTTAATTAACGGACAAATATGACAACATGATGCATTATACAGAGAATACCACATGATGCAAGATACAGAGAATACCACATGATGCAAAATACAGAGCTTGATGTATAAATACGGCATGATACAATATATAAGAGCTTCATGTATAAATACGACATGTTGCAATATACGGAGCTTCATGTATAAATACGACATGCTTCACAATAACAGCTATTTACTCTGGCTTCACAATAACAGCTATTTACTCTGGGTTCACAATAACAGCTATTTACTCTGGCTTCACAACCTGGATTCACAATAACAGCTATTTATCCTAGTTTCACAACAACAGTTATTTACTCTGGCTTCACAATAACAGCTATTTACTCTGGGTTCACAATAACAGCTATTTATCCTAGTTTCACAACAACAGTTATTTACTCTGGTCCTAGTTTCACAACAACAGTTATTTACTCTGGCTTCACAATAACAGCTATTTACTCTGGGTTCACAACAACAGTTATTTACTACACCTGTGTGTGTCTCTTCAAGTGCACACCTGTGTGTGTCTCTTCAAGTGCATACCTGTGTGTGTACGGGTGTGTCTCTTCAGGTCAAATGTATCATTGAAGCCTTTCCCGCAAAACGTACAGAGAAACCGCTTGACATTACTGTGGCTTTTCATGTGTCGGTTCAACAATCTCTGGAGACTGAACGCCTTCCCGCAGACTTTACAAGCTAGCCTGTTAAAAGAACAAACAGAATTATCCGTGTTAGTTAGGACTTACCTATGATTGAAATTATAATACTAAACTTCTGGGAAATAATACATAATAGTAATCAATCATTATGAATAGAAAGAACAACAGATTAAAAGAAAGATACGACAAACAGAGAAATAGATACACTGTCCTAAACTAAGTAAATGTTGAAGCTTCTTTCATGAGGTATCAGAAATCAGATTAGCTACGTAAGTATCCGATTTTGTTTCATCTACAAAGATTATACATCAATATTCTGGCCAGGTAGGTCCTTTCTGGTCGAACCTACCGGCTGTTATCCTCCTGTGTAGATGTCAATACACATGGCTTTTCTGAAAGCTTGAAATCCTGTTGCTCTTCCTCCACAGTTAGCTGACTTTTTTGAACGAACGGATTTTTTATCCCATGGCCACCATTGACAAACTCCACCGGCACATCACAAGACCAGCCAAGCTAAAATGAAAGAAAATAAGTTAATCTTACGGTGATGATAAATATAACTCTCGACATTATTTTAATAAGAGAGTAGCGTCCTAACCGTCCACGTTCTAGTTGAACATTTAGTCGATAAATCACACTAATGTAATACCAAAAAACGTTCTTTAAATTCACTTGTTAACATATTTGATCGGTTTATGGTGAATAAAGTATTGATCTTTGGTTAGATATTGGTGTTACTAACCCGGAAACGGTAGTTATGGAAGAATAAGACAGTATAAACACCAGATCTAGAGTAAAAATGACGTCTCTTACCCTTTGTTGTAAGAGAGACAGACGTACTTTGAGAGAATCCATGGAGTGACTGCTATCTGTAGGAGATGGAGGATCCTCATCGGACAGTCGCGAAACTTCATGATCGTTGAAGACTGGGGAATGTCGTCGTTCAGGAGAGCGCGACCAAGCTTGGACTTCAGACGTTGGCCGGGCCTCGGTGTTAGGACACTTCAGGGCCTGTGTCGATGCTGTGGAGCACTCATCTTGCCACCGAAACGAAGTAGGAGTCAAAATGCCCTGGGCTGGAGATTCGTCGTTCGTTCCACCCGTGACAGGATTCTTTAGAGAAGCTTTCGACGTGACAGGTGTTTGGATTACGGGGACGGCAAGAGAAGAAGGCCTGATTATGCCTGCATTGGGGGAAACCGGTGGTGTTTGTTCATGGTGTTGGGTGGAAGAGGTACTTGACCTTGGCCACCTGTCTCTTGAATGATGTCCATCTATAATAACAGAAGAAAAAAATCACAAGATTCAGCTGCAGTAAGGGCAGATGTCAGACAGGTTTCTTTAATCAGAGACCGATTATGCCTAATTCAAATTCATTATACATTATCTGCTAACGACATGCATGTCTAGTTTAATCCAACCGAATTTGACGTGCGTCATTGTCGTAGTTTTAGAACGCCAAACATTAAGAGTAACAGTTCAGTTAGTCAATCTATTTTTATTTATTTTTTGTAAGGGTAGCCTTACAATGAAGCTCATGCAAGGGACTGTATGCTGTTAAATAACTGTATGCATTCATTTACAAAGCTATTTTTTCCATTCACGTTCCTAAGGAACCGACAGTCATCTGTCCCAACTTCACATTCAAAGTCATTTACCTTGGCTTCACAATAACAGTCATTTCCACTGGCTTCACAACAAAAGCCATTTGCTCTGGCTTAACAAGAACAGTCATATGCTCTGGCTCACAACAAAACTTATTTAACCTTGTTTTATAACAGTAATTACCTGTCCTGCATACACGTCAGCAATCACTTACCCTGGCTTCACAACAACAGTTATTTACTCTGGCTTAACAAGAACAGTCATATGCTCTGGCTCACAACAAAACTTATTTAACCTTGTTTTATAACAGTAATTACCTGTCCTGCATACACGTCAGTAATCACTTACCCTGGCTTCACAACAACAGTTATTTACTCTGGCTTCACAATAACAGCTATTTGCTCTGGGTTCACAATAACAGCTATTTAGTGTCTCTTCAAGTGCATACCTGTGTGTGTACGGGTGTGTCTCTTCAAGTGTACCCGTACACACACAGGTATGCACTTGAAGAGACACAGCCGTACACACACAGGTATGCACTTGAAGAGACACACCCGTGCACACACACACATATTACCTGAAAATGCGCACTCGTACACACACGTGTGCACATGTATGCACTTGAAGAGACACACCCGTATACATACAGATATGCACTTGAAGAGACACACCCGTATACATACAGGTATGCACTTGAAGAGACATATTTGTATATACATATACACATATTACCTGAAAATGCACACTCGTACACGCACGTGCGCACAGGTATATGTACATTAAGGGACACACACTCGGGTGTGTTTACAGGAATTACATAATGTGGCTTGTTACTGTCTTCCAAAGGCTATACTTTAATCGTATCCAACCAAAAATTGATTTTCATAGAAAGAAAAGGATAAATTACCTTAAGATTTTGACTTTTAAAATTTGTTAGTATTTTTCGTTTCATAAAAAGCTCACTCAAGTAATACATTGTTATTACTGAGTTGGTTGTTTGATTTGAAACAAATCCACATTGGGCTATCTGCTGTGTCCACTGTGTTTGTAGATTTACCGCTGTCCTACCGGTGGATGTTATTACTGAGTTGGTTGTTTGATTTGAAACAAATCCACATTGGGCTTTCTGCTGTGTCCACTGTGTTTGTAGCTTTACCGCTGTCCTTCCGGTGGATGTTATTACTGAGTTGGTTGTTTGATTTGAAACAAGTCCACATTGGGCTATCTGCTGTGTTCACTGTGTTTGTAGATTTACCGCTGTCCTACCGGTGGATGTTATTACTGAGTTGGTTGTTTGATTTGAAACAAATCCACATTGGGCTATCTGCTGTGTCCACTGTGTTTGTAGATTTACCGCTGTCCTTCCGGTGGATGTTATTACTGAGTTGGTTGTTTGATTTGAAACAAATCCACATTGGGCTTTCTGCTGTGTCCACTGTGTTTGTAGATTTACCGCTGTCCTTCCGGTGGATGTTATTACTGAGTTGGTTGTTTGATTTGAAACAAATCCACATTGGGCTTTCTGCTGTGTCC